ATTCCACAAAGAGTGTAAGGTCAACACCGGATAGAGAAATTGACAGCGAACGTGGTTTTGGAGTTTAATTTGGTTGGTTTTATTGTATTTTATTCAGTGAGGTGGGAGATTAAAGAGAAGCCAAATAGTTCCACTTTGCGCGCTGTTTGGATAGATAAAGAGGAGACGCTTTCTATCTCAACAAGTTTTCTGTGCGTAGCCATCGTAGTTGTGCATCGTAGTCAGTGATCGTAGTAGACGTAGCTCTAGCTCCGTCTCAGTCAGTGTGACGTATGTTTCCAAGCGTTGGAAACAAAATACACGAATAATCATTTAATAAATTTAAAAAATAGTGGCGGTTTAAAATCCGTATTTAAAATATGTCAGACGGCAGAAAAACATATAAGACAGGCTGTAAATATTTTTCACCCACGTATTTTATTGATACTAACTATTAATGTAAACAATAGTTTAAAAGATTGTACTCTTTTTGCAGAATTGGATCAACATATTTTAGACCAAAACAGTGTGGATAATCACAAAAATTTATTGATTAATTACATTATACAATTTTTTATAAATGTGAGATTGCATCACATTACGCGCACTCAAGAAAAAAAAAGTGGCATTCGGCAGAAACTAAATAAATTAGTTCTATTTTCAAATGAGTAGTAAATATATGTATTGTGTAGGTGTAGAAATAAATATTATTGTACATATGAATTTTAAAATTTTATTAGTTTTTTTCTATCCCATTACTCCCGATTATCCGATAGCAACAGGTTATGGTGTAGGCATTACAGTCTCAGAATGGAGAAAAATTAGAAAAATAGAATAACGTTTGGGCTTCATGTGCACCAGAAATGTGTGAACACGGAAGTGATAAACATTGCAGCAATGAAAAAAAAAACTTTAGGGCAGAAATAACTAAAAAAATATATATGTAAGTATTCGACAAGTCTTATGATAAGTCTGCTTTTTATCATTTATATGAAAACAGTGTTAATAAACTTGAAACAACACCTATAAAATATTGCAATTTAATTGTTACATTATTCGCTAATTATTATTATTCAAACATAAAAACTGTCACCGATTACAAATTCCGATGTTTTAATCAATTATATATATTTCTGATTCAATTTTAAATGACCTGCGCACATTGCTGATTGGACCGTAGTACATGCACGACCATTTTAGTCGACGAAAACTTGTTGAGATAGAAAACATCGGTGCTCCTCGTCGATCCAAGTTGCGCGCAAGCTTTACCTGTTTAGAAGTGGTCATGCCTTCTCTTTAATCTCCCACCTCACTGATTTTATTGCGTGGATTTAATTTTGTCATTACGATGAGTTGCGGAAAGTTAGGAAGAACATCAAAAACAAACTGTTGTGTTGTGGGGTGTTCAATTGAGTACGTTAATACCGCAACCGGTCGCCAAGTACCTGGGCGTTTACCTGGACTATTGTCTCAATTTTAATCACCACCTTTCACAAACTAAAATCAAAGCCGAAGCGACGCTCAAGGCCGTGTACCCACTTCTCGCAAAAAACAGTCCCCAGGATCAACAGAATAAAATCCGCATTTTTAAAACCATTATCCGCCCAGTATATACTCACGCGACCCTGGAGATGACGTCGGCGATGCGGCACAGGGGACGTGGACAGTGCGACCCTGGAGATGACGACGTCGGCGATGCGGCACAGGGGACCGTAAAACAGTGCAGCCCTGGAGATGGCGTCATCGAAGCAGTGCAGGGGACCGTAAAACAGTGCAGCCCTGGTGATCACCAGAAGGGGACCGAGACAGTGCAGCCCTTAAGGTGGAGACGGTGGAGTTCCAACTGTGCGGTGATCACCAGAAGGGGACCGAAACAGTGCAGCCCTTAAGGTGGGGATGGTGGACATTGAAGTGCGGTTCCATCTGCCTGAAAAGTGGCCACGCTGGCCCTTTTATAGGCAGGGTTGAGTTGCGTGGGAGTACCTGCGTAGTAACGCAGCTCAGGTGGCGTGCGTTCCAGTGGGGGTGAGCATGGTGGGGTTGATACTGGCGCTGCCGAGGACAGCGCCCTCGAGAGGGCTTTAGCGGGGCGCTTTGGAAGCTCCGCTACATGCGCAAATTTCGCGAGGTGTCAGTATCAGCTCTACGAAACTCTAGAAAATGAGAAAAAAAGAAGAAAATATGGAGTACATCCATTGCATTTAAAACGCCTAAGCATTGGCCAGTTCAAATGCCAATATGAAGAAAGAAGACGCCATCCAGAGAATTTTTTTAAATATTATCGAACTGGAAAAACTAGGACATTGTATAACCAGACGGGACACAAAATTTAAACAAGTAATAACACCATACACATTCACGTGATTGTAATTCAACGAGAAATCGTTCTGTGTCGATCACGCTAAATCAAAATATTAGAAAAATGCAAACAAATACAAAATTACGCTGCGGAATTTCGGTGCTAACATGGCTTGTTCCTATAATACACGTGGGTTACAATGTTGCCGAAATTACGCGTCAGCGTGCCGAAGCGCCGACAAACGGAATGACGCGCGCGTACATCGTTTTGTACGCACAGATCTGGCGCTTTCAATGTATTTTCATTTGACACCATGGAGCGAAATTCCGCGCGCTAAATTACGCAGCTGCAGTCCCGCCAGATATGTCCCCGGCCAACTTGCAACGTTTTCAGAACAAATCCTTGAGACTCGCAACAAACTGATCAAGATGTACAAAAATTACCAACTTACACGACATAACGAAAACCGAACCCCTCAGGACTTACACCGACAAACTATCGTACAACTTTTACAAAAATAGACTTAAGACACAGCACACTCACGCAAGACTTGACAAAAATTAGAAGACACAATATGACCCAACATATTAAACAGAACAAACACCCATATATGCGTCTAAGCATATTCAACGAAATAGACTGACCCAGATTCCCTCCTTCAATTCCTCAACTTTGTTAGGCAACAATCCCACTTAATCAAAATCAGGCTCTCTCACGGAGCATGACGAAAAACCCAAATATAATTATCGCGCTGACATAGACGAACTAATCACAGACAAGTCGTGGGATATTACCACCCACGTGTCCCCATAATTAAAAGCACAAGTTAATTATCCTATCCGACCGAACAACTTGCAAAATCGGGAAACGCCCCGAGGCCGGAACGGCCGGTTCGAACACGGTAAGAATTAAAAGTAAATCACAGTCAACACAACAAAAGCCAAATAAAAGCAAAAACTTAATTATCCCAAGCAAACAATTGCAGCAATCTATAAAAATATTTGTAAAAACGTAAACTTAGGAACACACCCATAAAAACTAAATACAAAATAAGGGCAAGCAAATTCAACAATCAGTAAAAAAAGACGGACAAAAACGTACGTCCATAGACCTAAGGAGGTCGCAACTGCAGTATATAGATGTTCATTGTGTTGTCTAATCTATATGGTGGTATATTTTTTTAATCCAGCTTTTTTGTAGGCATGGCGCTAGCGGATGTGAAGTTACAATGTAATTAGGATGAAAATAAAATTTTGAAATACATATATACACGAACTGTTTCAACAGTATCTTTCAGTGGAAAGTGAAATTGAAATTTTAGTCCCAGAAAGTGGAACACTGATTAAAATAGTAGAACGTAGATTGTTGCAAAATAGGAAAGCTACATATGTACGTCCATTTGAGGGCATTGCTACATCATCAGAAATAGATTTGGATGCATCTACTGCAGTTTCTGGTGCGACGGCCGCAAAGCAAAAGAATTTATTCCTTCGGTTTTCAAGAAGCACCCGCACCAGTAACTTGGAATTGTACATGAACTCGATTTTCATCACGTCTGATTTATTTTTTGCGCTTAACCAGCCTAATTATGCCCGATGAACCCTATTATACTTGAGTGGTTTAGTCGAATTGTATAACAAAAATTAACTTTTTGGTAGCAGAATTTCGTCAAGGCGCATTTGGAATCATAAGAACCAAAGCTAATTTCGCTCGATCATCTGTTGACTTGACGCTAGAGCAGACGAGCAATCAGCTGACTGATAACCTTGCTGTAGACTCAATATCTGGGCGTCAAAAATGGGCGCTCAGCCATAGCATGAAGACTAAAATAATAAATCAATTCTGTTCGTTCGTCTTAATTTTCGGCTTTGCAAAAAATACGTCACGGATAATGGTACCGAATTTACATACAACTTACTAAAAGGAGTGAATCGTTTATTCAAAATTAAACGTATAACTACGTCCCCTTACCACCCCCAAAGCAATGGTGGCATGGAAAGATCACATGCGACCCTCCAAAGATTATTTGAAACATTTCGTAAATGACTTTCAGAAAATAACTGGGATGAATTTGTCCAAACAGCAACGTTTGCTTACAATATACAGATTCATTCCACAACGCAGTTTACCCCTTACGAATTATTGTTCGCAAAGAAGGCTCTTCTACCCCGAAACAACCGGAATTCCACTACATCTACGAGGACCACCATAAGCGGTTCCAACTGAAACTAAATAAAATCGTTTGAAACAACAAAATCGCAAATAAATAATTCAAAACTTAAATGAAAGGTTGACTATGATAAAAGAGCCCACGACCATAATTTTAATGTCCGAGATCTGCATCTGTTTCAGCAACTTTTTTAATAAGGCTAGCTTTTTTGACAATTTTAAAGTAGGCATTGGTTACGTTGCCGACGCGACGCCGGCCAATTTAGCCCCTTATTCTGTAATTTTTCGTTAATGAACGGTTTCGTTCGTAAACGTATGACTCTCAACGAATAATATAACGAAACCGTTCAATTTCTTATTCAGTAATACATTCGTCGGGCGCTCAACGATTGAAACCTCGTCAACGAAAAAGCCGTATGTTTTTAGCGAGATAGTACCATAAAATCTGACTTTGCTGCAAAACAAAGTGAGGTTAGAGTGCTAATTGCGTCAAGTGTGGCGTGTTGTTTTGTTGTGATCACGTTCAGGCTGTGATTTGACTGTTTGTTGAATAATGGAACCCCCTCAAAAACGCCCCAGAAAAGCAAAGACAACGCACCAACAGTTCCAGTTGTATTTACACGAATTAGAAACAAATCCTCATTTTAGAGAACACAAATTTAATGCAGATGAACCCGCTACTTTAAACACAGCATGGCTTACTTTAAGTAATAAATTAAATGCAAGTGGAGGGCCCACCAAAGACGTAAATGGATGGAAGAAGGTGCATAACTGGCAAAAACCCATTTTGTACCTGTAATGATAAATGGAGTTTTTTAGACTTTTGCAGATTGGAAATCTGCAGTAAGGAAGAGAGCTCGCCTGATTCAACATTCGTTAAAAGAAACCGGTAATGTAGGGTCTCCTGAAAAACCTCTAACTGAGCTAGAGGAACGGTTACTACAGATCACTGGAAAAGTAGTGGTCGAGGGATTGCCCGATGTCCCTGAAATTGGAGTCGAGAATGAAGAACATGAAACAACTGAGGCCACTGTTTTAACTGCCAGTGCTTCACAACCACAATTGTTCATCTCAGCCTCTGAACGTATTATCAAAACAAGTGGAGTGAAAGTTCTGCAACAAAATAAGAAGTATGAAAAGCCAAAATGCACAATTAATTCCACAATAAACAAATTTACCAACGTCAAAGAAACGGAGGCCTTAGAACTTAAAGCAATAAATGAAAAGTTAGAAAAACTTATTGAACAAAATGAAACAATAATTTGGTTAAAAAAGAAGAAGATGGAATTAAAGTACAACGTGTCTTTTGAAGAACTTGATGCAAACGGAAGGTGCAATTGTTCAGGAGCAAACAAATTTGTAATTTCATTAGTTTATTTCATTACAGTAAGTGAAGTATTTGTAATTAATCAGTAAAATAATTTCGAATAACCAAATTACGTGTATTAATGCCTTCCTGATAAAGATCGGCGAAATCTACGTTATCGTGGTCATTGTCAGGATCATCATGGTCTTCTAATTCGTTTTCCATATTATTATTATGTAAAGTTGCACAAGCAATAATCAATTTGGCAGCAAAGGCGGGTTTGTAATGCAAAGTTCTGTCTTTTAGCAAACACCTAAATGTTCCCTTTACAACCCCAATACAGCGTTCAACAGTGTTTCTCGCTCTAATATGGGCTTGAGAATAGCGACCTTGAGGTGTTTCTGGATTGACGCCAGCAATGGGCAATAGTAAAAAGGGTTGCAGTGGGTAACCTGCGTCACCTAATAACCAAGAAGTTCTGTCGCCGTTTCTATAATTGTTTCTCAGGTGTCGAAATATTGCGCTCATTTGCCAAATCGCAGCATCGTGAACACTGCCTGGGTATCTACAGTTTAAACTCAAAATTTTTAAAGCTGAATCGCATATAATTTGGGCATTTATACTATAAAAGTTTTTTCGGTTTAAATAGACATTACCCGGTGGTATACCACCAAAAGGCGGACACACAATGGCTATATGTGTGCCATCAATTGCACCTACAACTCCTGGAAAGCCAAACTTGTCAAAAAATCCATTTTTAACGTCAGTTATCTCGTCAATAGTTTGTGGAAATTTAATGAATCGTGGTGCCAAGTGGTTCACAATTGTATTAGTCACTCGATGTAAACATCTACTCACTGAAGATTGACACACCGAATGATCTCGATCTTTTCCTATGGATTTCTGATAGCTACCATGTGCATAAAAATGTAACGCAATAAAAAATTGAGTTACTGCGGGGATTCTAGTGCTTCGCTGCCCATCCTCCAAAAACTGATGCATTTGAAGAAAATATTCATGTGCCAAATTCCTAGGAAATCTAAACATTTTCCTGAATACTTCCTCAGGAGTATTAAAGGGATTACTAGTGTCTCTCAACGTTCTCATCCACGCCTTATTATTTTGCCTGTAATTTATTAAGAGAAATTGAGATAGTCATGATTTTGGTACCAAACACAAGCACAAGATACTTTTATATGCCTGCTAGATACCCGTGTAATTGAGAACATCAATATTACCTTCTTTGTAATTCTTCAAACAGTACATTAATTACAATGTCATCCATTGTTTTACGTTTATTTATTGCTTTTATTGAGCACTCTAAAATAATAACAAACTTTATAATTATTTCACTGTCACTCTAACAGTTCGTTATGTCAACGACACCCTTTTCAGCTTTCGTTTGTCAAAGGAAAATTTCAACGTGCTATTCGTTTCGTAACGAACTTCGTTGAGTTACTGAATAACAATAATCGTCTACAGACGATAACCTTTAGTCAACGATATCGTTGATAATTACAGAATAAGGGGCTTAGGGGTATATTTTGTAATTTATCGCTCCAGAACGATCTCGTTCCCAAACGATAATCGTTAGACGCAATCGTAAAATCAGTTTAGCGAGATTGTACAAATTTCCAATTTTATAAACACTATCGTAATCGTAAAGTTTTGAAATCGTTAGCGGAACGATGAATCGAATGTTTTTAGAATCTGTAGTATTCAAATTTGTGTAGCGTGTAGATTACGTTGTTCTCTGTTGTGACATGTGACATTTGTTTTGCTACTGATCGAAGTTTGGACAAATTTGTGAACTTATTACATGTAAGTAAACAATAATTATAAAAGAAAAACATCAAAATAATCACACTAACACGAAATTCAGTTTACAATACGTTCACGGGAGCAATGGAAAAACGTAAAAGTGTCCAGCGTATTACCCAACAGCAACATGAGTTGTATGTGGAGGAGTTAGAAGGTAATGTAGATTTTAGGGCCCAAAAGTTCGTGGCAGACAAGCCAGATCTTTTAGAAAAGATATGGGAAGGGTTGGTAGCAAAACTAAATTCTGTGGGAGGACCACAAAAAAGTGTTCAGCAGTGCAGAGAGGTATGTGTAATTAATTAATCGACCGAACACTCTTTTTAAAAATGTGTACTTTACTATAATTTATCGTACAACTATTAGCAATTATTCTACTTACATCAACACTTTGTTTAAGACAAAGTGAACATCTTGTTTAGTCATGACCAATCAATTATGAGAACTGAGATGTTTAATCTTTATAAATACTGTTACACAATAAACCATAACCTCTGTGTTTTTTAGTACAACACCAAGAATATAACATAGGGCAATCTAATTACAATGTACTGCCTGGTAAGTAAACGTCACTGTGTGTTCCAGAGATTTGTAGATTGGAAATTCAATGTTTGAAAGAAGGCCAGAAATTTAAGGCTATATGAAAGAGGAACTGTTTAATAATTTCATTATGTTGTAAAGAAAATAATAAATACATTATTGAAAATGCTGTATTATTAAATTATTTCTTGTGATATGCCATTCATGTATCATATTCAAGTTCTTCATTATTACCGTTCTCCTTGTCATAGACAATATTGATCTCGTCATTTTCGATATTTCTTATGCGTAAGATGTTGTGTGAAACAGCACATGAGTATATAATTTTTCCTGCAACTTCTGGTGAATAATACAGAACTCTGCGGCAGTATTTCTGGAAATGCATCTCTCGCCGCTTCCCATTACAGTCGGTAGGTCTTCCTAAAGGTTTCTTCTGGAACGAAGAAGGGGTCGTTTACATCTCTTAAGAACCGAGACAAATTTCTCATTCTGTCTCTGCAGTAAAAAAAATATAATAAGTTATCAACCTAATCCAAACACACACTAATTACTTACATTTACCTTCTCTACCCATATTTGCACCAAAACGTTCCTCTTCATTGTATAAATACTTTTCTAACGTGTTCTGACACTTTTAACGGTGAACTGAAACCTATCGTTCCGGAACGATGACATTCTAACGATACGATCGCTATGTAACGAGACGATAGATGTTACAAAATCGCTATCAGTCCCAAAATCGTTATGGGAACGACTATCGTAAGTTAACGATGCTCTAGCGAGATCGTTAAGAGTTACAAAATAGACCTCTTAGTTAAAGACGAATAATTTACGCATTTCCGATTCGTAACATTCAAAATTGACGTTTCAAAAAATATTCCATAGATAGATATATTTTTAACTAGCGCTCAAGACAAAGAACGCTTGCTAAATAAGGTAGGCACAGACTGATCTTTTTTTTAATATAGCTACTAGAATACGGTTAATTTTAGGCTGAACTTATATTTGGAGTAGCAGCTGCCTGCAAACAAAATAAATTGGTATCTTTGGAGACTAGGTACCTGCGTTGAGAACCATCAGAGTAACTTTCTTGTCAAAATTGTGGACACAAAAACAAAACAAAAAAATTGATCATTGATTATTGTACCTGGAAATCATGAAAATATCAATTTGCTTGATAATATTGGAAGATACATGGCACTTCGATCTCCAAAAACACCACATAAAAGATTCTTTGTCAACTACGTCAAAGAAAAATGCACTGTACAGCCGATAGGGGTCCACAAAATTGCTGGTGTACCCAGTGTGGTGGCCAAATTGTTAAAACTTGAGAATGCTGTTAGAGTCACTGTTTTCGTAGGACATCAGCTAGTATTTTCGCCAATGCTCGGACAACCATGGAGCGAATTTACAAAATTACTACATTAACCCATTACTGCCCACCGTATGATTTTTCATACCATATGAACGGGACTGTTTGAGGTTAGGTACTTAAAACAAAAGACAACGAACCGGCTTTTGAAATATATCAAACTCTATTGGAGATTGTTTAAAACAAAGTTACATTATCATATTGGTTTTTGCAAAACGGTGTCCTTCATTTTTTGCAGAATGAGTAAGAGGTAAGTTTACAATTTTTTATTTTTTCTACAAGAGAAAAATCCATGCATGTTTCTTGCGATATATATAAAATAAAGTCTGTAGATTTTGTTTATGATTTTTTTTCACATGTTTTGCATTTTTTTTTACCTAAAATTGAATTCAATAGCTTGCGTATGAAAAATCATACCTTGGGCGGTAGAAGGTAAGACAGTTTTTTTTTACAGAAGCAAACTTTATAATCCTAATGATCCGGTGGATGCTGAGCAACTTTTGAACATTTTAGAGGAACTAGATTCTGACGACGAAGAGATGGAACCCATACGAGATAGTTCTCAAATCGATCTTATCTTGATGCCACCTCTTGATGGTGCTGACAGTGATAGAGACGATGCTGATAGCGATGACGAGCCTTTAGGTACTATTAGAGATATTGGCAAAGGGGTTCTCAAACAGCCGATGGAAATCATATGTCACAAAAACGGAGAACAAAATATTGTCCATTTGGACGCGTCTGATGTAGAAGCCGCAAACATAGACGAACAAACTGTACAGGAATTTAGTTCTGATGATGAAATACCCCTGGCAAAAAAATTTAAAAAAGAACTATATGTAAAACATACCAAAAATAACAATTAACAAATCTCGTTCCCCGGATATTGTAAAATTAATTATTGATAATAATGCGGAACCAGTCGAAATTTTCCGAAGTTTTTTTGATGAGGAGTTTATGCAATTTATTTGTGATGAGTCTAAGAAATATGCCAAACTGAAAGGACATCACAATTTTGACGTTTCAACTAAGGAATTGTACATATATTTTGCAAATCTGTTACTATCTGGCAACATCAAAGCACCACATAGACGTATGTATTGGGAGACGAAGGCAGATTCTTACAATTCACTGGTCAGTAATAGCATTTCGAGAAACCGCTTCGAAAGTATTCATCGTTTTTTGCACTTTAACGATAATTGTAAGATCGATACCAAAAACAGATGCTACAAAATTCAGCCGTTACTGGATCATGTCAATAAAAAATCTCTAGAATTTTTTCAACCTCTGGGTAGTTCGTTTTCATTAGATGAGGCGATGGAGCCTTATTATGGACACCACAATTTAAAGCAGTTTATAAAGGGCAAACCAATTCGGTATGGTTTTAAGTTTTGGTGTCTTACTTCGTCGGACGGTTATCTTTTCAAATTTAATCCGTATTGTGGGGCAGGAGACAAAATTGAAGGATCTACTTTAGGAACAAGTGTAACAGAAAAATTATGTCTCAATTATATTCCAAAAGGTTCTACGGTTTATCTAGATAACTTTTTTAATTCCCTTTCATTGCTCCATAATCTTCGAGCTTATGATATAAATTGCGTTGGTACAATTCGAGCAGACAGAATGGATAAAGCGCCTCTCAAAGATCTGAAGAAAGAAAAACGTGGAAGTTCTTATGTGTTACAAGAAAAGGAAGGTAGTATTACACTGGGGAGATGGCATGATAATAATCAAGTTAATATAGCAACAAACCTAATCAACAATGACATATGCTTATCTAAGGGTTCGTGCAAGCGATGGTCTAGAAAGGATAAAAGTACAGTGTCAATTGAACAACCATCTTTGGTCAGCATATATAACCAAGGAATGGGGGGAGTTGATTTGTTTGATAAAATGAGAGGCTTATATCGCATTCGCATACGTTCCAAAAAGTGGTATTGGCCATGTGTAAGATTTTGTTTTAACGGAGCAGTTGTAAATATGTGCATGATGTATAGATTTGCACATCCAAAAGTTGGTTTACTAGAATTCGTTCGCAGAATAGTTTTAGCTTTGCTTTCATCGCCTCCACATTTGGGTGGACCAAAACCAAAATGTACTAGAGCCGTTTTGCCCGAAATTAGATACGATGGCGTGGATCACCTGGTAGATAGCAACAGTACTCAACGAAAATGCGGCTTTTGTGGGAAATGTGCTAAGTTTGTATGTGTTAAGTGCAATGTAGGCCTCCATCCAGCACATTGTTTTAGAGCCTACCACACACCATAATAAATATTTTGTGAAAAAAGTAGTATTTTTTTATTAATTTTTCAATAAAAGTTTTTTACACATACACTCTTTTGACCAGCGTATGAAATATCATACGATAAAATAAACATAGTTAACAAAAAAAAAAAAGTTGTTTTTTTTTGCTAGTTTGTGTTTAGAAGGGCTATTGCATTAAGTTTTGCTAATTTTTATCAAAATAATAAAAAGAAATTACTCGGGCATTAATGGGTTAAAGAAGGCAAAATATATTCTGCTTCTGTAGCATTTGTCACAGGGTATATAATCAAAAAAATCCAGCAAAATCTGATGTGCAGTTGTTGTGTTTGAACCACTGTTGTCAATAACTACTTCAGGACCGTTGCTGAAGAATATAAATTTTCAAAATAGAGGCAAACTAATTTATCCTTCGCCACTTTTCGTCGGATTGGTTGAAAAAATTGCCAAGGTTGTGCAAGAACTGTTGCCTTTGGTAAATAATAATCAAAAGGCTTGCCAACAATTAGTCCAAATAATAGAAC